TTAGTATTTATGACCTGATTATTATTATTATTATTATTTTTGAAGCTTATATATGTGAACCGCCGGGGAGGTCGGGAACCGTTGACTCTCTTTTTTTGGCTACAGGTTGTTAAACCTGCTCACTTGTCAAGATGGCTAAAGTTCAAATGTGGTCCCGAAGGGTCGGGATTCTTTTTGTCAGGTCGAGTGGAGGAGGTGAGAGGGGTCGTTGACGAGGTGTAGGCGATATGCGAGTAAATGACACCATTTAACAATGGAAACAACGATTTATTAGATTAACAAAAAAAAAAAATAACAATTACAAAATCTAACATCTGGAGAAATGAATTTAGTTCACTAGTTCCTAACTCGCGGAGAGAGAGTTTACATTTAATGCTCCATACCTCTAGTATATTTTAACGTAGACGTTAGGTTTATGCCCTTATTCTTCCGATCGACGCACAAAGTTAAAATCCTTTGAGACTTAATCCTTTTTGACCAGCCATAGATGAGAGATTCCCCTGAGGAGGGGGAAAGAAGTTGCTTTTATAGCTTCGGGCTGGGGAAATTAGTCATGTGATCCCCTATTGTGAGAGGTAGAGTTGGTCCTGCTGGTGTGGAGGTTAAAGTTGTTTCTGGACCAAAACAAAATGACGAATTCAGACTTTAACTATAAACTTTTTGTTTTGCAGCAGAGGAATGTCATTGTTAGAGGGTTGAATTTTTATATTAACGATGAAAGTTATAAGTTTCTATTGATATTTGATTCTTTTTTCCGACAATGTTACTTTAACAAGGAGGCGATAAATTTATTTCTCATATGTCAAAAATTTGGGGGGAAAATGAACAATTTTAGCCTTACTCTGAGGTCGGATCTCACATATACAATACATGTGCGATAAATAGTTTCTGTATCAATCTATCTTATTTCCACAATATTTTTAGAAAAATAATATCCAAGTAATTTTCTCATGCAAAATATTCAAAAAACAATAAATGCATTAATGCAAAAATCAGTTTTACAGGCAACCTTCCTTTTTCGATTTCATGATTGTCCAATGACAATTGCAGAATGTAATGAAATGTATTATGAGAAAAATAATAAAATCATTTTATTATTAATTAATAATTTTTGTTATTGAACTTAAGAAAATATTAAATATTAAAAAAAATACAGTATTTTTAACCTGTTGTACGTTGTTCCCTAAAATATTCGTGTTGACCTTGTTGATCTGCATGGGCGATCCTGAATATTTTCGTGTTTGCATCAGAATGTTTTTTAAACATCAGATGTCACTACTTGTATGTTGTTTTGAAATAAGTGACTCATATCAGAAGAACCGTTACGCTATCTAGTTTTTGCTCAGCAGGTTATCAAAATTCTAGGAATTGTTCTTTGTTAGAAATCACAAAGAAAATCAGACCACTTCTTCTCTGTCTTTCGACATGGCAGCAAGTAGTAGACACAGCACTCTAAATAAGTCAGAAGTTATCGAATATTTATTCAATATAGGTTCTGATGAATCTGAATTTTCAGACAGCAACGATGATTATATACCAGATCAAAATGTAAGTGATGACAGTGGTGATTTTGATCCTGATTTACCATCTACGAGTGGATATAGAAGCAGATCATGCGGCAGTACTCGAAGTAATACTGCTAAATGTCCACGATTTAGTAGTGACGACAAATGGATTCCTACAAATTTCAGATGTCCTCAAGTGAACAGTTTTACAGGACCATCAGGAATACTATGTAATCTACAGAGTGATGCTACACTGTTTGACTGTTTCAGTATATTCTTCGATGATGAACTCGTTGACAAGATTGTTTCAGAAACGAACAAGTTTGCTAAACTGTAATGATTTACGAGAGAATAGTCATATAAAAAACTGGAAACCAACGACAAATCCAGAAATTAGAGAATTTCTAGGACTTATAATGGTCACAAGCATAATTAGAAAACCGCGCCTAAGTATGTATTTTACAATTGAAGATCTTTTTTCGACGCCTTTTTTTTCAAGTGTGATAACGAGCAACCACTTTCAACTTTTATTGTCTTGTCTGCATTTTACAGACAATAATCAAGCTTCAGGTGGTGATGATCGACTGCATAAATTACGCAGTGTTATTGATCGTTTATGCTACAAGTTCAAAAATGCATATCTCCCAGAGGAAAATATCTGTGTAGACGAAAGTCTTATGCTATGGAAAGGGAGATTGGTATTTAGACAATACATACTGAACAAGCGTGCTCATTTTGGAGTGAAAAGCTTCGAAATTTGTAAGTCACAAACAGGATATGTTTGGGACTTTATAGTTTATATTGGAGCTACTACTGAATATGGAAATTTTGAAGGTGGGAAAGGAGAGAAGGTTATGCTAACCTTATTAGAACTATTGCTCGGTAAATATCACAATGTGTTTTTTAGATAGGTTTTCACCTCATCGACCGTAGCGAAAACGCTTCTAGACAATATATGTGAAACTGTATAGACAATGTATGTGGAACTGTAAATAAAAGTCGGATAGGAATGCCACATACTTTTCCTGATATAAATTGAAAAAATGGGAATTTATCACCTGTCAGAAAGATGAATTGTCTGTGTTCTGCTGAAAAGACAAACAGGATGTGGCAATTCTAAGTACGATGAGTGACAATGAATTCTCTGATTCGGGTAAACGTGACAGATCTGGGAAAATAATAAGGAAACCAAATTGTATTTTGGATTATAATCGCAATATGGGTGCTATTGATCTCTGTGACGGAGTAATACACAATTATCCATGCATGAGAAAAATGGTAAAATAGTACAAAAAGTGTTTTTTTCATATGATGGATATTACATTATATAATGCTTGTATTTTGTATCTAAAACATACGAAAAAACAAATATCATTTCTAGATTTTCGTATGTCTGTAATCAGAGAAGTGATAGAGAAGTATCACACAAGCAGACGTCTAGCCCGCTGCGGTCGACCATCACACAAAAATCCATTAGGTTTATCCGAACGGCATTTTCCTAGTCTCGTACCACCTACAGAGAAAAAAAAGCATCCATCCAGAGTATGTAAAGTATGTTCAGCTAACAAAAAACATGCAGAATCACGTTATCAATGTGTACAGTGTAATGTTCCACTGTGTGTTGTACTTTGTTTTGAGATATATCACACTAAAATTAACTTGTTTTTTTCATTCCCTAATATGTCTATTTTGTGTGTAAGAAATATAAAGTAATTCGAAATAATACGATAGCCACAATTATTATTTTTCTAAAATGTGTGATCGCATTAGGCTTAATATCGAAAAATATTCAACATGGAGTGACACGCAACGGAGAAAATACTCAACATCGAATAGGTTAATACAATCTGCACAAAAAATACTATTCCACCAAATAGCAAAAGACAAATTTTTTTACAACAGATATGAGGTAGACATTAAATACCAATATGCTTTCATTTTATCAGGTTGGTGATGTATGTCACGTAACATTTTGTTCTATTCTTTTAAGATTTTGTGGTTTTTATAAATATGTATAAAATATGAAGATACATCAGAAGAAAATATTTAAGTGACAGTAAGAAGAAGGCTGTAGCTAAGACAAAGAAAACCAAAACAAGAGGAGAGATAGATACTTTAGATAAGTATTTCAGCAAACCTATGACAGAAAATGTAGAAGAGCAAGTGGTGCCATATTACAGTAAAAATGATGACAATGAAACAAGCCACTCTGAAGTATATAATGAAATGTATAATAGTTTATATATGTCAAGATTCTAGACCTTGGTTATTAGCCTGGCATCCCATACAGTGTTTTTGTTTGGACCCTGCAGCTCCTAAACACAGCTGTGTGCGTGCATGTGCATGTGTGTATATGAGGTCTGTTCAAAAAATATGCGGGCTGTTTGAATTGCGTGGTTCCAGTTGGTTTCAGGGGAATCAGCTTGGTGTCACTAGGTTTGTACAGATCATCTGGTAATAAAGCCGTTTTCTGATTACAAATATCTTTATTTGTTGATTAGCTATGCGGTTTTTAGTGAAGTGCGATTATTTTCGTTTGGATTTCAGAATGAATGATCTGATGGAGCAACAACTTGCTGTTAAACAGGTGATGAATCATGGGCTATGACATTGAAATGAATCGTCCCAATGGGTGGGTGAAGCGTACCCCAAATCCAAAAAAGCTCACCAGGTTCGATCCAATGTCAAGGTGATGCTGACAGTTTTCTTTGATGCTAAGGGTATTATTCACCACGAGTACCTCCCCCAAGGCTCCACAATGAACAAGACTTACTACATTGAAGTTCTGAAACGTCTGAGGGATGCCATCCGTCGCAAAAGGCCAGAAATGTGGAGGAATGGCGACTGGTTTCGCTATCATGACAATACTCCAGCCCATTCAGCTCTCAGAACTCTTGAGTTTTTGGCCAAACACTTGATCACTCTCCTTCCTCACCCCACTTACTCATCTGACCTTGCTCCTTGTGACTTTTTCTTGTTCCCCAAACTCAAAAGACCATTGAAAGAAAGAAGATTTGAGACAATTCCCAAGATTAAGGCACATGTAACAAAGGCACTGAAGGACATTACAAAAGAAGCGTACCAGGACTGTTTCAACAAGTGGAAACATCGTTGGGATAAGTGTGTGCGTTGGAAAGGAGAGTACTTTGAAGGAGACCCAGACATTTAACTTGTACATAAAGTATATTTTGTTTTATGACGTCAGTCAGCGTATTTTTTGAACAGACCTCGTATACAGTAAATGTCTGGCTATAAAAACCTAACAGTTATATCTAGTTTTATTTATGCATGGTCTACCAATCTTATCCAGTATAAAATTGTATCATTTATAAATCTGATTTAAAGGCATTTCTGTTATATTGAAGCCTTGAAGATATCAAGCAAAAGCTTACACTTATTAAGTTTTACATCAGTTGTTAGAAGAAATTTAAGTAAAAATAAATATAAATAAATTTTAAAGAAAAAACTGATAACAAACTTCATAGTGCTACAGTATTCTTTTGATTGCCATATATGCATAATTAAAAAAAAAAATGAGTGAAGAGGATCTATGATTTTAAAAAGTTTTTAGAACATTTATTTCTACATTAATCTTTTAATTATGAGGAAAGTGACCATTCATTAGTTAATAAAGAACAAGAAGACTTATGTTGTATTTAGATAACTAGTTTCCAATTTCTGTGTATAGTTCATTACCTATACAATTTATTTTTACATGGAAATAATTCAAATCAATAGACAAAAGCATTAAAGAGCATGTATACAAAGATGCAGCAGCTACTATAGAAGAAATGTTGCATTTGCAGTTAAATGGATGAGTAGCTCTATTTTTGAGGCATACTGTTGTTCCACTTGGAATTACCAAAAAACTTTAATTCAAGGTGCTTTAGATAGAAAAAGCTTAGTCTTAAGACATTGCCTTCATCAGTGGCACATTATCCTATGGGCAAAAAGGGCAATTGCCCCTCAAACCAATAAGGCCCCTCAAACCAATCTTTTATAAGAAATACTTTTCCAAAAACTTTCCCTGAAGCAAACTTGTACAGTCTGAAGTCAGTACTTACATCAAGGGGGCAAATTTTCATTGGCCCCCATAAAGCTATAACATGCCCCTGGCTTTTATAAATTTAAAAAAAGAAAATTAATATTTAAAAAAAATGGTGTACACATTTGTGAATTGGTTAGTGGTTATGATAATCTAGGTTTTTAAGAAATTTAAGTGAAGTGGAATATTCAATAAATGTTAATTTTGCATTATTTTAATTGTTCTTCTTCGTAATGATCATTATAATGTTTTAGAAAGATGTTGCATAGTTGATACAAGGTTCGATTTACCATATGGATTTTAAGACAAATTAAATTTTAAATTAACTATATTTTTTATTGAGAAAAGATATGTAATACCTGTAATTTTAAAAGTTGAAAGATATAGTGTTAATAATCACAACTGAAGAGGAAAAGAATGTTTTTAAATGCATTTTGTGATCCAAGATGTTAAGAAAATCAAAGAATATTTTATCAAAAAATCAACCATGTTTATATCTTATTTTTGAATGATCATAAACTTTATCAGATTATTTATTCTTTAGATGAATAAGTAGTACATTATTATATAGTTTGTACTTTTCTATATGCTTTGTAAGTTTCTGAATGTGTATTAATACAATAGAATTCTAATTGTATAAGATAATGAAGACCAATGCCATAATAACCAAAATCTCTGATAAAACAGATGGCTATGACCATTTCAAATTAAAAATAACAAATATGAAAGATTTATATGGTATTACTTTTAAGCTTCTTTTTAAATCTTTAGTGAATTAAATCATATGCAAGAACCTTAATTTTTATATCATTTATTATACAGCTAATACAATAAGAATTTAAAAATTCTATTATTATAGTTATATTTTAATATGAATGACTGTCTTCCCATATTGAAGTTAAATAATAAAAATGTAACAAACAAATCTTTTTGTATTATATGTTACCATTTTGAACTTTATGAATTACTACATTATAAGAAAACTAGTGTGTTCACTTACAGGTTTGTCTTTAATATTGTTTCAATTAATCAGGACTTGGATAATTGGGGTTATAGTATAATATGAATGATTTGATTATGATAAATTCAATGAACAAATTAACAGATAATGAGCAATTATTTATTGTGACATCGTCAAAATGCTGGGCTTCAAAAAAAAATTACGCACATGGAACCAATTTATGGTGTGGTAACATAGAAAAAAACATCGAAAAAACACATTTTCAAACTCCTCCTGTGCTCTGCATCAGGTGACAGTGATGGAGGATTTAAAAATGTGCATAACCTCTAACCATTTGAGATGTTCATTGGGAGGCATAGCGAGGAGATTGGTCCAAGTGGGCTACTATGTCTGGGTCTGTACGTAAGTAGTGAGGGCCGTGGAGATTCTTCCGTGATGAATATCAGGCTCTCAAATGATTAGAGGCTATGCACATCTTTAAATCTTCCATCACAACCACGTGCATAAATTTTAAAGAGGAAATGCTTTTATCAATAGCCTGGCAAGAGTTGATTCACAGCACGCTCTAGCTGCTTGTTGTATCTGGGCAGGCCGACCTGTTGCACATGCACCATAAATTGTTTGTAAATCATTTCAAACTCAAGATCGAACTCTTAGTTAAACAGCATTTGTTAATCAAATTCCTGTCTAAAAACCGTTAGAACCTGATGAAGAGCCCAAAAGGGGTTCGAAAACATTTGTTTTTCGATGTTATCACACCATAAATTTGTTCCATGTGCATAATTTTTTATGTTGGTGTGGTGAGTAGTTATTTAATGCTGGGCTTCAATTTTTAACCATATTTTAAATTTATTTTATTTAAAATATATGCTTTCTACCTCAAAATACTACTGTAGTGTCTTGCCCCTGTACATCATACTGTTCTGTTAGCAGTGGAGTTGTGCCAGTCATCAATTAACTGCTTTCAGGGGAAAAGTTTTGAATTGAAATAACATAACTTTTGGTTTGCATTAGAAATTTGCATATAGTTAGTTGGGGCCTCCTATGCCTAAGGTTTCCATATCTGGTCTTGGATTTCATTTATCTCTGTTCTCAAGATTAAAGAAAGACAGATGGACGGACGACAGTGAGAATTTATAGGACTATAATTTTTTCAAATTGCAGCCCAAAACTGAATTTCTCATAATGTTTTACAATGGCTTAATTAAAAGACTTATTTTCAATAAATTTAAATTTTGCTACAAAATACATTGCTGCTGCTAAGTTTTTTCTTTTTTTTATAAAGAGAAAAAATGTAATTGTAAGAAAAAATATATAGAATGTAAAATATATAAATAAAAATATATTTTGTTATAGATATTTAATATAATAAAATTACGTGATATAAAGATCAGACATAATTTGAATTAAGATTAACATTACTAAATTATATTCATAATTTTAATAAAATCCTTTTATAGAACGCTTTGATCATCACTGTCCATGGGTTGGAAATTGTGTTGGGAGAAGAAATTACAGATATTTCTATATGTTTATCATGTCTCTTGCTTTATTGTGTGTTTTTATGTTTGGATCAGTTATAACTCATCTTGTTTTAGGTAAGAATGTGGTCATTCTTAATGATTTAAAAATAAAATTTTTATTTTGATAATTTAAAAAAAAAATTTTCATTTCAGAATCCAGAAATAACACTTTCCTTGATGCAGTAAAAGAATCACCTGCTAGATATCCTTTAAAATAAAAATTTCTTTATCTAAAACTTATTTTATGATTGATATATTTTTAAATCATAAAAAATAATCTTTTTATATTTAAAACTTTTTATATATCAAAACAACCTTTCAGCTTCAATTATATACAGTGGTGCATCATACTTCAAATTACCTCTAGGAGGTCATTTGAACTTCGAATTGTTTGAAGTCAGAGTTAATTTTTTCAGTAGAAATAATGGAAAGTGAATTAATCCATTCCCAGACCATAAACAATATCCATTTCAATTAACTTAAAACAGTAACTACTGTATATATAAGATAAAAATAACACCAGATATTATTTATTGTATTTATTTTTTAATTTATTAAGTCCTATGCCCACCTTGTTTATCTTTGTTTTGTAGGAGCTGGTATATGGTTGTGTTCCTCTTATAGAATAGTCATGTGTTTCTTTTTGGTTATTGCCCTATATTATCATTTTGAATGCAAGATCAAAGTGGATAATAGTGGTTGCATCTTTTATTCCATTCTATATTTTTGGTTGTTCATTGTTGCTATAGATTTTGACAAGATAGTCTATCAAATCACAAGGATATTGTGTTGTTTTACTACAGTTTTAATTATATAAGCTCTTTGTGTCCATGAAGACCTTATTATAATTAAAAAGTGTAAAACAACAAGAGCATTAGTGTAATCTATAAATGCTTTCCTAACCAATGCTTTGAATACTGAGACTTTTTATTTTATAAGGATTACAAGTATCTTGTAATTCTTATAAAATATATATATATAGGCCAATATATGTAATAATTGATGTTCCTGTTTGTGTTAAACAGTTATTATCCCTTCTCCTTAGAGCATAATATTTATATTTAGATAATGAACAGCATTGTGATTGCTTTGCTCTAACTTTTAAGTTAACCCATAAGAGTTATATAATATGGGCACAAATAAAAGAATAGATTCAAACAAAAAATTTTTATTTAAAATTTCTGATGTGGAGAAATTGACATTATCTACGGTCAAGTGTTACAACTTATAACTAGAAAAATGCAGTGAAACATATACTGAACACTGAACAGATATATTGGAATTTTATCATTTGATAGAAGAGTTTGTTGAGCCTTTAATTACTACTGTTTCTGGAGATACAGAAATCAGTGGTGAAGATGAACTTTGAGTAATAGATATTCTTGATAGGCACTAACCTTAATGTGCTTTTTTTTGTTTTACATTTTTTTCATTAAGGATTATTTTAAGTCCCTTTCTGGGCTTAAATGTTTAATAAAGATTAGCTGAACCAATTAGTCTTTTCAAAAATAAAGTTTTGAAGCATAAAACATGGAAAAAATTACAAAAATCAACACACAAATTAAAAAATTGAAACCTTAAAATATTTAATATTAAATATTTAGAGATTATAGATTTAATAATTGTTAATCAATTAGTCAAAACATCTGTTATATGTAAATATATTACATTACTATTTTAAAAATTTTCTCAGTTCTAGGTAAATATTTAGTTTATAATTTTAGCTTAGAAATTGCATGATGCAACAATTGTGATGAGCATAAGTAACCATTGTTGAACAGAGTATAGTAAGTTAGTTTATTGTAATAGGGTTAACCTGTTACAAGGGGGGTTCCAAGTAGTAACCAATCGTAGTTGGTTTTATCTTATTACAACATTATTATTTCCACTATATTTACATCATTTCAGTTTTTATATCATACAATCCTTGTAATATAAGCTAAATCTTAGTCATCAGACATATTATTCTATTACAAAAAGACTTGAATTATTATAAAACAAAACAATTACAAAATTTATTTATAATAAATAATAAAAAGATACTTGATTGTTTGTTAATATTCTTGTTTAATGCATGGAGGTGGTATCTGAATCACCCTTCAATTCCTCCTTACAAAAATAAATTTTATACTAATTGGAAAAAATTACATCTATAATAACAACTATATTTTCTTGAAATAAGCAAATTCCAAAGCCATTTGTATCATTGGAAACACTTTCGATATAACAGGATCTATTATAACAATACTTTCATCAATTGGCTATCGTAGGAGAAATTTTATAATAACTACCATAAGAAATTGAACACATTACAATTTATTTCTTTTCTTTCTTTAACCTATTCGATGTTGAAATTTTTATTTGTTGTCTGTGACGCCATGTTGAATTTTCATCGATGTTAAGCCTAACTTTTTTTTTTATAATAATCGTGTTTACTGTATCGTACAAAATTATTTTTTTATGTTTCACAAACAAAATAAATATATTGAATAATATAGAAACAAAAAAATTATATTTTAAAAGTTTGTTTTAATATAAAAATTGTGACTCATAGCAACATCATAGTATCAAAACGTTCCGATGTAAACACAAAAATATTCGGGATTGCCCACGCACATCAATGAGGTCAACATGAATATTTTCAGGAACAACGTAGGACAGGTTAATAATAATATCATATAAATATACCTTATCATCCTTTATATAATAATCATCTCTTACAATTATTTTGTTACCATTGAGTTTTTCTTGTTTAATTATTGGTAGTAATTTCTTCCTTCTCGTCCTTGATCTCCTACATAAATCTGTAGTCAGTATTATTTTCTTCCTCTCTACACTGAGAGTCTTCCTTTTGCCAAAATTCTTTAAGAATTAGATTTCTATTGAATATGGAGTCTAATGATATTTTCACTATAGGTGTAGTTATGCCATTGGATAATTTAACCAAACTGTCTGATTAACTATTAGGTAGATCCAAATCCTTTTTTATAAACTGATTAATTTCCTTTATATAATCAGATGAACTAAACTGGAAATTTATAATTATAATAATCATATTATTTTGTTTATTAATTAACCAGCTTGTCTAACTCAAATTTCAACATACAGTCGACCCCCCTATAAGATCATAGATACGTTCCATTTTTTAGGCATCTGATTTCTTACGAGTCGTTCCAATCACAGCCCGACATGTGTAAAGTTTACGGACTACGGCTGATTGAAAGGTTTTCTTCCATAAAATTAATCGATTCTAGACTAATCCGACTCAACATTTCCAAAATACGTATATATTTTTTGGGAATAATCCGTATAAACTACGCTATAAACAAAAAATTGTAGGATTACTTACCGAGTGTCACCATTCGACATTGCCATTGCTCAACATTGTTTTCGTCGCGGAACAGCTCAGCAAAGAGCGGCCGATTTCTAACAACTTATTTTTCTGTGAAAACTTCGTTGAACTTCGGAGACATCATTAATATAAATAATTTTAATCGCCGTTGAATAAGAAATGTTTCTTTCACAAGAAATGTATAAAATTACAGTACTGTATTAGACTTACGGTAGCTAATTTACATACTGTACAGACGATAGTTAGCGTAAAAATCTCCGTAGCGTGGTGCCACGCTAGACGGCGGAAATTATATATTTAATTATAACAAAGTTACTTTAAGTTAATATATAATTATATATACAGTACCTAATTTATATATAATTATATGTACAGTACCTAATTTATATATAATTTATATAATACTGTCCAGACGATAGAAATCTCTCCGTAGTGTGGTGCATCGGACGGCGGGAAAATAGTTCGGCTGCCCAATGACGTTTAACGTAATTATAGGGGGTTTTTTACTGTTTTTTACGGATACCGTCACAATTTTTTGCAGTTTTATAGGAATCGTAATTATTGGGATTGTAATTATAGGGGGTCGACTGTACCTTATATTTGACTATTGTTCTTAGATATTTTTTCCATTTCTTCTAATTTTTGAGATAGTTGTGACAACTCTCACTGAAAATATTTATTATCCTCTTTCAATAAATTAACCTCTGTTGTGATTCCTTTTAGATTATTGTGGAGTTGCGAAAATTTATCCTGTATTAGATCATATATCAATTTTAAAGTGTATTGGGGTTCATCCTTTCCTTGTAATTTCTTACAATTTACTGCTTCAAAATATTCATTAATTCTCGTGGTTCTTGAAGTCTCTGGACTACACTTGCCGAGGTTTTCTTGTATTTGGTGATAATCTTCACTAATTAAGTCATTCAATAGATTTTCTTTTTCCTTTTCTTTGAATTTGACCCTATGTATTTTATCTCGCTCCCTTCTTTGCATATCTATTTGACTCATTTGTTGTGGCGATCGAGATAGAGGGCCTGGATTAGATTCATTTCTGGCAATTAACAATAAACATATAATTAAATCCAAGATTAATCTATTGGTGAATATCCATTTCTTTAGAACCATCATATCACAACCAATTACAGCTTACCAAATTCTCTAATATGCACTTTTCAAGCTCCACTATAAATTTCACCAACACTTCTGGTGATCAGCACACGATCCTCCTGAACAGAGAAAAAGTATGATTTTGTCAATGTATTTAAGTAATGTATCAACATAAGTAAATATTACATTAGGAAAAGGAAGCTTCTGGAGAAAGGAAATAAAAAAACAATGTTTGTAGAGAGATTTTTTTTCTATTAGAGAGATAAGTATATTTTAACTCCTTGGGACTCTAGCAATTTTTGATATTAATGTAATTAAACATAAAAAATACTTAAAACTGAATAGAACTAAAGATATGCATTAATTTTGAAGAAAAAGCTTCAAATTTTATTTTCCTTTGTCTCCCCTTTCTGTGAAATCTAACACTGATGAGTCATTGTTTACACAGCTGGATGACCTTGAACACAGTTGGAGTTGGATTTCCCGGGACATTCTCATAGAAGTCTCAGGAGGTGATGGGTTTATAGTAGGGTGAATACTAGCTGGCCGTATATTTTTAAATATTTTTAAGAAATTAAAATTTTTATTGTGATTTCCGATCCCCCTCCGACTTAATTAAACTTATATATAATAAAATCTATTAATTAAAAAAATTTAAAAACTATCGGAGGTTGTTTTTGACATCAGAAATTAGCTTTAAATAACTACCGAAGGAAAATCCATGTACTACAACTTTAGAACGATGAATGAAATTTGATATCAAACTCCCATTAAAAAACAATTAAAAAGCAATAAAGTGTGAATCGTGCGTCATTAAAGGTAAATTAAAATTGCAATAAAATTTTTTTGCACGGGAAAAAATTTTTGAAAAAATTTGGAGACTTAAAAAACATTCCAAAAATCCAAAAAAAAACAAAATTTTTTTAGGGGCTCCAAATGCCCGAGTTTTATGTAACGCTATGTATCTTGCCCGAGGTATCTCGGGCTTGAGGCCCTTAAAGTAAGCATTTTTGAGAATAGCATGTTCTATGATGATTAAGATCAAGATTCATAAACTAATTGGCCATTCTAACATACTCCATCTAATCTATCTAATATGTAAGGTGGTAAAAATTATGATGCAATTTTGTGAAAACTTGCTTCCATCATCAATTTGTGAAAAGCCAAGGATGTAAACTAAGTTCATGCCACTTACGGGCGCTCGATCGTGAGATCGAGCTCTACTTTTTTTATAGGAGGGCGATTAAATGTAAAAAAAACGATCTAGAGGGTAAATTCTAGATCTTGTCAGGTCCCGACACCAGTTAATCGAATTTGGATATGCGGATTAACATGCGTGAGGGGTCTGATTTAGAGATCGAGGAGACATTATATTAACTAATAATAAAAGGAATTTAATTAACATATATATAAGTAAAACTATACAAAGATGGAGTTACAAATAAATGAGACACAATGAATTCAACTTATATTATGTGTGTCGAGAGAGAGAGCTCACAATCTCATATTAAAACATACAATCTGTTAGTTGTCCTTCTTTTCCTCTGTATATGATGTATTTACCTCTCTCTTGGAGTTCTCTGCCTTCTGTTCATGGAGAGATCAACTTAACTGAGAATATTTATGTCTATGGAAGTAAGCCTTTTGTATACTGTATTGCTTATAGCATAGGGCGTTGGCCTTCCGGAGTCTGTTCAGACTTCATCCTCCTCATCTGGGATCTGTTGACGAACTCCTCGAATTCGGCTAAACTTTGTCTTTATCTCCTTATTCACGACCAATCATCATATGAGGATTTTTCCACGTGAACGGATGGGAAGAGGGTTAAATGAGGGGTAGACAGTTCCCATCGAAGCGAGATTTCTAACAGATAAGGGAAAAACAGAGGATGCTCATACTTCCGTCAAAGGAAGTGACTCTCTTATCTGCTTTCCCACACTAGAAAAACGTTATTTTCCCCTCAAAATGAAATAATATTTTTTTGTTATTAATTTAAATTTGTGATTTAAATTGTTATTTAGACCCAGGGCTATTCGGATCTCACAAATGTTATAAAATTAGGATTTGATGTTTAAATGAAATTTGGAAAAAAGAACAGCTTCATACTCTAAATCTTTTAGTTGTATAAAAACATCAGTTTTTATTTTTCATTCTATCTTTTTAAATGGTAATTAATGCAAACCAAATTTATGATGCAAATGGAAATGCTAATATACCAATTATTTGTAATTACAAACCCCTTAAATTTGATGAAAAGTTAATTCATGTTGGTGCAACAACATATGATAAGTTAGATTAATGGAATACAAAAAAAAAGTGTAGAGTATGAAAAGCTTTATGAAGTTGGAATATGTAAATAATAGATGCCAAGTACTTTGGAATGCTATAAGACTTAAAACATGTTTTATGCACTTTTATATCTGTACTGAATCATACTTTTAAAGCTAAACAATTGCTGGATTACATCGGATTAATAGTAGTAGTAATTTAGTATGATTTAATCTGTCAATCATTTAGTTTTAATATAATTATTGGGTTTTGAGATGTTTATATATGAATCATACTTTTCTCTACATCTATGAATAAACCAGTTTGTGATTTAAATAGTGGCACAATAAACACGACAATATATTAATTTTTTTAAACTTTAATATTACATAATTCTTATTAAATACAGTATTTTGAAGCAATATAAATTTTGTATTTTTTTTGTTGTTGTGAAAAATATTCCTAATTTAAAAAGAAAAGCTTGAATTAAAAAAAAAATTTTTAATGCTTTTTAGTTTAGATTTTTTTTGTATATTTTTATTATTAAATATGATGATTTTTGTTTACAATGTTGCTTTTATGAACTTAAGTTTTGTTCATAAACTATTGATACTTTCATATAAATTACAAAATTTTAACTTTCAAATTAAATTTATTGCATCTGCACTTATTAATTTTTATTTTTAATTACAACATACAAATATTAACATTCAGATCTGCAAGTTTAAATAGAAAATTATTTTATGGGATTTTATTGTAGAACATGACATTTTAAATGCTCTAAATGCAAAATTAGATGATAAAATTTACTACAAATTATTATTTCTTTAAATTAAATACAATCAAACCATGATAAGTGGTCACTCTGGGCTCGTAATCACATTTTTTCTGGTCCCTTCAATCTCATTGACATTAATTTAATTAAACTCTCATTAATTTGTGATCAGATTTGTCCATAACTCTGGTTTACTGGTCAGATTTATTTTTGTTTGTAAAACAGTTTTTTTTTTTTAAAGCATAATTCAGATAATGTTTATTTCTCTAAGAGTTTTTGTTTTTCATAAAAAAGAGAGAGCAAATGTATTTTTTTCAGAAATTTGGCTATTGTAAATTTTGAAAAAAATAGCTATTTATCAAAAATGTCTGGCAACATTACTCTCTTACTAAAACATGACACAATCATAATGTAAAAGCATTTATAGTTTTTTAATTGGATTTTTTGTTTCTGAGACATTAAGTATTGTCTTTGAAAGAAAGGGGATTAATCAAATCTGTATGAGAAATCAAACTGCATGAAGCAGCTTTTGCAAAAGAGCATGGAATTGCTTGGACTGTTATTGTAATCAAAAAGTATTGGATATGATTAATATCTCATCAAAGTATCTTCTAAAATAAAACTCCAGTACTTGCTTACTTATATAAAGATTAACATTTTCAATCCTTCCCTCTGGATCTTTTTCAGATCTATGGTTTGTTAGGATCAGATTTCTGTTGATTATCTTAGCAAATATTGGTTTTGAACATTGTTGCGCTTTTTAAATTATGTTAGATATCTCATATATATTTAATGTTTAAATTTCTATATATAATGTGAGAAGCTGGGGTTGTTCCCTAAATGCCACTTATTTGGCATGGTTCAAAACCCTGCCCACGTTATTATCAGATGGTTAGGAGTCAAATAGTTGAGTGGGGAGGTCGATGGGTATGTTGATAGGAGCCAAGTAATGACAAAAACAACAAGAGTTTAATATAAATCTATCTAAACTAGGGTACATAGTGAATGCAAATACCTAACTAAATACGATAAACACAGGCTGATATTGGATTGTATAATTGTGGTGTGACTACTTAATTGGTCCTTTTGGTCCTGTAAATGACCACTTATCAAGGTCATAAATATAAATATATAATATCATAAATATATAATTATTTTCCTTAATATTTTTACTGTTATAGTTGGAGTTATATGCTTCTTTTCAGTCTGGTCAATTTTAGGCTTGGCGGGCTTCCATACTTACCTAACTATTTCTAATCAAACCACCAATGAAGATGTAAGTGATAATTGAATGAGATCTCAAACATTTGTGCTTATGTATATGTGCATGTGTTTGAAGCCTTATCCTCATAATTTATATAATATGCTTTATTAAAGCTGAAATTTAATTTTTATAAGAAATTTTATATAAATTTTCATTTATATTTGATTTCAGATCTATTACAAAAAAAAAATACTTTAATATAACAAGGGTGGCCAAACCTTGTTACATAGGAGCCATACACTGTTTATTGGAAATAAATGAGCTGCATTTTCTGTTGGAATGCTTATTGGAGATCCATATCATATATTTATAGTATTTTACTGTATGTAATAAATCACTGTTCTATATTAAATATCACACTTACTTTACTGGTACTTTATTACTAGATAAACAATCATTTAACTGTTTTGACTTTATGAATGTATCCAAAGCTTTCAGTTATATATTTGAGGTTAAACTAAAAATTACATTTATGATCTCTGTGTTTATTTTATGTAATAGTCAGAAAGTTTATTACTTATACACTATTTTTGTATGGTCACTATGTAAGTACCAAGTTTAAAAAAGAAATTGTATAAGTATATTGGAGCTGCAATAAGTATCTAGAAGAGCCATATGCAGCTTGAGAACCATAGTTTGGCCACCATGGTAATATAATAAAGATTTTTAAATCTTTACAAAATGGATTGATATATGTTATATATATTGAAATTATAAGAAAGTAGCTTTGATTTAAATATATTTTTCTCTTAAAATTGAAAATTTAAACTATTGATAACATAATCCAATAGATTTCTACTTTGCAGTATTTGTCATTTTAAAGACCTACTGTATCATGAAAAAACATTGTCTGGTTTAAAATGTCAGAAATTTAAATGCTCATAATAAAATTAAACTAATTTCCATTTCTAAAGAATGATACAATGCAAAGATTAATTTTTATATAGAATTGCTAAATAAGTAAATAATATAAAAAGATAAAAAGTTCTTCAAAAATTGCTGAGTAATTTTTGAACCAAAATGTTTAAAATGATAAATCCTAGTAACTTAAAAGTTTTTTATTCCTATCACTGATTGGCTTATTTAGCAGCCTTGCTCAGACACATGTTGCAGTTGTTCATAAGCCCATTATGGAGTAAATATATAATGAATTTTATTTTATTATGGAGAGTCTGTTATGAAATAATTTGATCATATGTTGAACCAATACAAAATATCGTTGTATTGAATTAGTACATATATTCTATAATCTATTGAAAGTAAGTATTTTACACTTTTCAGATTAAAGGTTCCTTTTCATCAAATCATGGACAAGATGTATTTAATCCATATAGTCAGGATTCAATTTTTAAAAACTGTACAGTGGTTCTATGTTCGCCTAATCCACCAAGGTAAGCAACATAATTTGTTATAATCTTACTGAAGATATTATTGTTTGGTATTTCTCTTAATGCTTTAAAAGATTTTTTGCCTTTGTATTTAATAAGATTGATATAGCTTAATTTCAGAATTTTATATCTATTCAAAATACTATGAATTTACAAAGTTGATCAAATACAGTAGAACCTCGATTATCCGGACTAATTGGGGATGAAGATAGTCCGGATAAGGAAAAATCCGGATAATCGAAACAGATACTTTAATTTGTCTTTTAATGATAATACAACACGTTTTCTTTTCGATGACATATCGGTAATATTAAAAGTAAATAATGTATTTAAATCGTGATCAAATTTTCAAGAAACAAACGTTCGTATTGAATTTGGACTACTACTGACCAGCGCTAACAGACTACCAATTGTTTTAAAGGCCCTCTAATGGCACAAGAAGACAGATTTTATAAAATAAAAAGCAGTTGAAACTGCATTTTTATGAATAAAAATTTGACAAACTATTTATTGTTTTATGATGAGCAAAACTTTTTCGTCACATTCGCGGCTTTTAAGTAATGCATAAACCTTCGAGGCGTGAGGCCCTTCAGACCACGAGGCATAAGCGGTGGCCCACGTTGCCCATGCCTTATGCTGCCCTTGGTCATAGAAATGATGTAATTTGAATATAAATTATTTATAAATATGTATGTCAAGTTATATTTTTATTACGACGTAAAATATATTTAAGAGTTTACGACCACTGTGCTGGGTGAGACGTTGTTGAAACAAAAAAAAAATTATGTATTCCATCACGTACATAAACAGTGTCGTAATTCGCCGAGTGCAAATCAGTAAATTCGTAAAATTTTTGTTTATTTTGAACAATCCGGATAATCGAAAATCCGGATAATGGAGGTTCTACTGTAATTCATAAAGAATTTTTAAAGTACATAAGTTTATTACAGTAGAAATTGCTTTTGCAGTCAATCATTTAAATAATCATGTTTAGTTTTTGATCAGTCAGTTTTTTTAAAGTACTATTTTTTTAATGGGTTAATTAATAAAAATATCAAGCAATTAAATTATTTGCTTGACATAATCACATATGTTGTATATTTCTGTTATATGTTAATGTAACATCAGTGTCAACTGGGAGCTAATTTTTAAGTTTTTCTAAACTGGAAGTATGCATTTGACAATACATATTTCCAGTTTAGAAGAACTTAAGTTTAGTTGTTTTACATTACTGTATTCTAAAATACAGTAATGTAAAATATCAATGCATGCTAATTTACCATACTTTAAAGAAACAATAATGATTACAACTGGAAGTATGCATTCAATACATAAAAAAATTATTGCAGTTAGTTTTTTATTTTGGTTTTTGGTTTAAAGTAAAACATAATTAAATAACAAATATTTTTATAAAATAATGATATGAATAAAATTCTATAGTTTTTATCACAACTGTGATATGTCTTGCATATACTAATTTTAGAAATCTATTCCTGCCTTGTTTGCAAATTAATTTTGAAAAGTTTACAAATTGTATTGAGGTTAAAAATTAAGACATTATTATAAAATAATAGTTAATTCATTTATGATTAGCATATACTGTAATGACTTTTGCATATTGAATTTTTAGCTGCTTTTATGCATGCCGATATATACTGTTGAAAATTTTAGTGTTAGTTTTATACAACTTGCTTTGAAATTATTTACGTAGTTTAATAACATACTGATAAAGATAAAAATATAACTGGTCCAGATACATTAAAAAATTTACTGCATGCTTTAAAATGAAATTTCCAACATGGAAAAACATTTCTTATATTTTAAGAACTTTCAGTTAGAAAATATTTTTACCATATTGCTGTTGTTCTTATTTCTTGTATTTAATAGAATTAATTACTTTAAATTTAATTATTTTTAGATTTATAGATTTAAAACTTAAATTATTTTTAAAGCTGGAAATATTACTTTATTGAATTGAATTGACAACCTTCCACATTTTTCCAGCAGTAAAATATTTAATTTTAGAAATACAAACATTTTAGGTCTTGTTTATGGGCCAACATAAGGTAAATGCAGAAGATATTGAGGCAAAAACTGACAATTCAAAATTCCAAAATGTTTTTAAACATGTTCTGAATTTATTGTTTGTTTTTGACTCAATTTCTTCTATATTTGCCTTATGTTGGTCCTAAACGAGACCACAAATGTTTTAATTTCTGAAATTAAACATTTTGCTTCTGGAAAAGTGTGGAAGGATGTCATCAATTCAATTCATTACATATTTTTATAAGTGATTTACCTTATATGCCAGTATATAAGCCAACTTAAGATATAAATCAATTTCAGAATTCTGGGTTTAGATCTACAGTATACATGCCATATAACTCAGCCTACTATGTACTTGGAGATTATCAGAATGCTAGAACTGCAATGTGGATATGGTAGTGTGATGGTAATTGTTAAAAGTGCATGATCATCTTACTTTAATCAATATACTAATCACGATATCTTTCAATATATGTTTATATTATATAGTTCATACAAAAATGCTTGTACAACGGAACCAATTTATATAAAACATCAAGCATTTTTTAAAATATTTTCAAGGTTATCTTGGTAAGAATTATATTGAACATTAGGTTTATTGGTAAATACATTCAGAATCAATACTGGCAATAAAATGTTACTGTTATTTACAGCATAGTATCATGATAGTATTGCTATATGTTGTATATCTTATTACAGTAAACGACTATAGTACATCTTAATACTGTAGTATATCAGCTATTCTAAACAGTGTATGGAATAGTGTTCATTTATACAGAATGCTTATTATTATATTCATTGATATGTTAAATAATAAAGAAAGTTCATCAAACACAAGTTTAGTTGGAAATAAATGTCAATAAGAAAAAGCATGAATACCATTCTATTGAATGGTATTCATGTTTTTTTATTGACATTTGCTGAAAACATTTGTAGACAAATAGAATATTAAACTTCATGCTAAACTTCTATATTAAATAATAAAACTGATTGTGCTAGAGTTAGTTTATTTAGTGTGTATTTTACTGTATACCCAGTTAATATTTGCAAACCATATTAAGTAATTATTTTTTTTAATATTTAGTCTAATAGATCGAAGAGGAATAGTTGTACCAGAAAATCATAATTCTGTTAGAGGAAATTATGGTTCTGTTAAAATTTCTCATCCAAAAATTTCTAAGGTAAGCATGAATGAATAAATTAATTTTCTTATTTAAAATACTGGTGTTGAAAATTCATTAAATCTTAAACTAATAAATTTTCTAGAATTTGTTTGTTTTCAGTTTTTGAGAGAAATAATAATCCTGTTGGAAAATTTACAAAAAATTCTCAACAGATACAGTTTTTTTTTATTAAATGTAGTACAATTTTTACAGTTGATTGTGCCACCATCAGAGGAAAGTTTGTAATATTTTGCATGTTAACCACTTGAATGCATTTGTTCTGCCCGGAATGTCACTCTGAAATCCATAAAAAATTGATTTTTTATATTAAATAATTATTTCCGCTCAAACACGAATCTGACAGCCAAAAAAATTGCCAGGAAATAATTCCCATGAAATAAAAACCCCTCCAAAAAGTGTTTTTACAAAAAAAGTATATAAAAAAAAATAAAAATAATTTAAAATAAATGTTTTTATTTGAAAAATATAGCTGCACAGATTGTTATTCTTTTATTTAATAAGGCATGATATTTCACACTTGCAGTCTACCTTATTTACAAACTGGTTGACCTTGAGAACAGTTGGTGTCAGCTTTCTCAGGTAGTTCTCACGTACCCCTCGATAATATTGGTTTAAAGCAGGAGGGGAGCTAACTTACCGCATCTATTCAAATATAACAGATAATGTTCAATTTTTATGCTATTAAAATATGTAGTGACTGAAAAAAAGGTATGGAAAAAAAAATTTACTGAATAAAAAACAAAAAACCTGATGTCATAAAAAAACATCCAATAGCATTTAAAAAAAACTTTATAGATGTCAAATCTGTGAAATAAAAGTTTAGAACAATTTTATTAATTTGATAAAAAAAACTCCCATAAAAAAAACAATAGTGCAATTAATTAGCTAATTAATAAATTGTCATAAATAATTTTTGTGGCAAAAATAATTCATGAAATTTGCATAGGTGATAGATAAAGATGTATATATATTCTGATCCATACATTTTTGGAAAAGTTATAAGTCAAAGCTTTTTTTATGGTCCTTTAAAGTCCATGCCCGAGATATCTCAGGATATGGACTGTGCAGCATCACACACAGCCCAAGTTATCTTGGGTTATGGGTGGAAGGGGTTAAGGCAGATGAGAAACATCTAAATGAAGGTCAACTCTGCCCTGAAACTATTATAATCTGATGGTGTATGAAAAGGGACTAGAAAAGTAGGGAGTAAAAGTTTGTCCACTGAGAATTTTTTTTGTAAATTTTCCAAGTTTATACTTATTGTCCTAGTTATAATGTTTTTATTAAATAATTTTTTTTTTCAAAATCAAATTTTTGAAAGTATATTTCATAACTGATTTATTGGGTTGTTTGGTAGGTAAGTTCGTTTTTTTTCCGTGGGAAAAAACATAATATTTTTATAATAAATAAATATTTTATTGAATTATATATCAACCATTTTGGTCATATATCTGTTGTTATCATTTCAGGTAATAGCATGATTTCACATTCATAAAAGTTTTGATCGTTGCTTACAAAAAACTGATCCAAGTGATTTTTGACATTGATCATTTCAAGTAAATGTCTTACAGTTAAAAAAAATTTGTATAGACTGGAACAAGTAATAATCTGGGTGTGCTCGATCTGGCGAATATGGTTGGTGTGATAGCAAATCCCATCTAAGTTATAACAGTTTCTGACGAGTTACCAAACTTGTGTGAAATTTGACATTATCGTGGTAAAACACTACACCTGTTTTGTTGATCAATTCTGGCCGCATTTTCTGTTTGATGATATTACTCAATTTGTTTACTTGATGGCAGTACACTTTCGAATCAGTTGTTAAATTGTCTGGTAAAAGCTCCAAAAAAAATTTCATTAAAATCCCACCAAACAGAGCATCTCTCTTTAAGAACATGTGGAACTCATATATCAAGCTTTGAAACGAAACCAATTTGTTTCAAGTAATCATAAATGGTTCAATTTGACAAATTTAATCTTAGTGATTTCATGTGTTGTTATTCGGCAGTTTGCTTTAATCAGTACCTTTATTTTGTTTTCATTGGCTTCAGCTGGTTATTCTCAACGTGGTGCATATTCAATATTGAAATTGCCAGAACGAAATTTTGTAAACCAGTTTTGGCACTGTCTTTCTCTCAACACATCATCTCTATACATGTACCACAATTTTTTTCTTGCTTGAACAGCATTTTGATTTTTTGGTAATAAAAAAGCAAAATATGCCGAAAATTATGCTTTTGATCTTCCATATTTGATGGGACACAAAAAATGAACAATTGCACAGAATCAAGCAAAATTTTTTACAAATAAGCCTTAAAATGCTAGCTGTCAAAGTATATAATGATAATACAGTTTAGAATGAAAATTGCGGGAAAAATATGACTAATCCGTCTAGTGGTAAAAAAAAAACGAACTTACTTTCCGAACAATCTAATAGATAATACCATCACAAATCAAGTTTTGATGATCAGTCTTAGTTAAGGCATCAGCTTTCTGTTATGAGGATGTGGGCTCAAATATGGTTTAATTCACTTGGGAGTAACAGGGACATATACCCACTTGGCTGCCTCCATTTATTTGCCTAGTTAATCTCTTAATGGACATTAATAAAGGATAGTGTCTACAGAAATAATTGAAAAAAGAATGAAAAAAACATATATTTAGAGATAACTAGTATATTTATTACAGTGATGCTTATACATCATATACATCAAGAGTTTGGCCATATCCAAAATGGGAATGGCTAAATGAGGGAAGGCTTGACATATCTGGGACTTGCCATTCCTGAAAAATTCCTGAAACTGCTTGCCTCAATTTGATCATAGGTTCCTTAGGTTTATTTGTGTGTTTATTAAGTTATGGCAATACAACACTTGGATGATCTGCCTAGGGGGATACCTTCCAGAAGATCTTTTTAAGGGTAACTGACCTTATTCAGGCATTACAGATGTGGAGAAAACCCAGAAAACTCCACATGGCCAGACTGTCCTGGTGAGGTGCAAACCCATGACTGAACTCCCAGTGTTCAAGGAATGGAACCGCTTGGCCACTGATGGACTGGTCCCTTACGTAGATCGATGTCTTAACTGCCTTGCCTCTGGCAGTCTTTCTTTATTATTATTAAAGGTTTAACTTCAGAATCATTGATATTTTGAAATATTTTATGTAAAAAATCTGTTTTGAGATTATTAGAACCATTAATGTGGATTTTGAGAAAAAATGAAATTTGTTGTTGTTTTAAAAAATTCCAGATTTTATAATTAATTTTAAGATAGAAATTTTCTATAAGTATTTTATAATAGAGAAATATTAGCAAAACTAATAATTTAAAATCTACTGTTAAATATTATTATTTTTCACAATATGTTGACATTTTTCAATGATACTTATTTTCAGAAGCTCTTATTTTTAATTATTGACTATAAATTTGGAAAAAGAATAAAGTAATTTGTTTTTTTGACAAATTTTTATATACTACTCAGGTTAAATTAGTTTAGAATTAAGTACAACTTGTTTTTACTTATCTGAGAGTTAAACTGAAAAAAATTGTTTCTAATTTAATTCAAAATTAGAAGCCTTGTTTTCATATTTCTCAAAAAATTAGTAAAATAAAATATGATGTTTAATATACAAATATAATTTTAAGATTTAGTTATCTAACTTAAATAATTAAAAATTTATTTGATGATAATTTTATAATTATTTTGTCATTAATTTTTTGAGGACTATAGAACTATGCAAGCTTTTAAATGCAGCAAAAAACTTTAAGAGGGGATAATCTTTTTCATTTAGCTTCTTGTTTGGATTTATATTAAATTATTATTTCAACAACCTAATAGTGCTGTTTTTCCAAACTTATCACACTGACTTCTATATGTTATAAGGACCTTGAATAAGTTCTCACTGTTTTTTTGTGAAAATTAACACTTTATTTTAAAAAAGTTGTAATAAACATGTCACTGAAAGTATTGTCCATCGCTAGCCACTACTTTCTCCCACCGTTCTGGCAGCATTTGAATTCCATGTTGGAAAAACGACACATCTTTTGAGGCTATCCAAGAATCAACCCATTTTTTGGCATCTTCATAAGAATGGAAGTGCTGCTCAGCCAGGCCATGTGCCATCGATCGGAACAAGTGATAATCCAAAGGAGGTGATGTCTGGAGAATACGGCGGGTGGGGTAGGACTTCCCATTTAAGCGTTTCCAAGTACGTTTTCACCGGTTGTGCAACATGTGGCCGAGCATTGTCATGTTGCAAAATCACTTTGTCGTGTCTCTGCTCATATAGCGGCCGTTTTTCCTTCAATGCTTGGCTCAAACGCATCAATTGTAGTCGATAGCGATCTCCCGTGATAGTTTTGTTTGGTTTGAGCAGCTCGTAATAAACTACACCTAGCTGATCCCACCAAATGCAGAGCAGAAGCTTCGAACCATGGATATTCGGCCTTGCTGACGATGTTGATGCATGACCGGGCTTACCCCACGATTTTCTACGCTTAGGGTTATCGTAGTGTATCCATTTTTCGTCACCTGTCACGATACGATGCAGAAAACCTTTCCTTTTCTGCCGTTGAAGCAGCTGTTCACATGTGAAAAGACGCCGTTCGACATCTCTCGGCTTCAACTCGTACGGCACCCAATGTCCTTGCTTTTGAATCATTCCTAATCCTTTTAAACGTTTCGAAACTGTTGTGTGATCAACTCCTAATGATTCTGCAAGTTCAGCTAGCGTCTGACATGAGTCTTCATGAAGTAATGCCTCTAATTCCTTGTCTTCAAACTTTTTTGGTGCACCAGATCGTTCTTTATCTTCAACATCAAAATCATTATTTTTGAAGCGTCTAAACCAATCTCTGCATGTTGTTTCCGACAGAGCATGGTCGCCGTAAGTCTCAACAAGAATTCTGTGTGCTTCAGCTGCAGATTTTTTTTGAATAAAATAGTGCAATAAAATTCCCCGCAAATACTCTTTTTTTGGCACGAAACTAGACATGTTTAACACAATGAAAAAATAAGTTGTTTACACTTCGGTGAAATGACGTATACTGAATTTCAAGGTCGCTTATTGTACTTCCTTACAGATGCATCACCATCTAAAAATAAACACACGTGGTTCTGGTAACGCCATCTGTTAAAGAACAGCGAGAACTTATTCAAGGTCCTTATATAAATACAGTGGAACCTCGGTATACGACTTTAATCCGTTCCTGGTGTTTGGACTTATACCAAACTAACCTTTCCCATAAGAAGTAATGTAAAAATAATTAATGCGTTCTCATGTAAAAAAAAAATGGCTGGCTTTAAACACCTTGCTTTCCTGGCTAGTTCCTGCTTGATTTTTCATGAGATCAGCATATATCTTTTTAGCTTTCTCGCAAATAATTTCTTCCGCTACGCTGTCTCCAGCACACTGTTTTTCAGTTATCCAAAGCAAAAGCAATTTCTCAACATGATCTAATGTCTTCGATCTATGTTTAGAAATTGATTTAACCCCTTTCGCAATGTTAGCAAATTTAATAATGTCTTTATTTTTCACGATTGCTGATATCGTCGTTCTCGGAATACGGTATGCAACAGTTAAATCTCAAACAAATATGCCACCTTCATATTTCTCAACATTTTTTTTTTCAGTTCCATTGTGATTCTAGTCATTTTTTTATTTTTCTGTTGCCTTTTTGCAATTCATGATTAATAAAATAATAAAATTTTACTTACAAATTAAAATCAGAAGAAATTTAACAAAGTTATAAACTGTGGCACCGCGAACGTCTAGTCTGGTCTAATACACCGATAATGCTACTTGTTCATAGATGGCATGTATAATTGAATTAATTTGTATACCGAGCAAAATTTGTTTCGTTCAAACAGGATGTATTCCGAATTGGACATATTCTAAAGCAGACGTATACCGAGGTACCACTATATATATAAAACAACACTAATTTTTTTTTAATCTTTTCTAAGTTATTTTTAAGTTATTGTTACTTTATGTTATGTAAGTTAAGTTTTAGTATCATTTCCCTTCTCCCTCTCTTCCG